GAATGAAGAAATAAGAATTCAGAAAAATGAGGAGAAGCTTAGGAACCTCCAGGACATCTATAAACGCTCCAATATCCGAATTATAGGGGTACCAGAAGGGGGAAAGACACAACCACCAGTGGAAAAACTATTTGAACAAATAATAAAAGAAAATTTCCCCAATCTGGCAAAGGAAATAGACTTCCAAGAAATCCAAGAAGCTCAGAGAGTACCAAAAAAGTTGGACTCAAGAAGAAATACACCAAGGCATATCATAATTACATTAGCCAAAATTAAAATGAAGGAAAGAATCCTGGAAGCAGCAAGAGGTAAGGGGACAATCACCTACAAAGGAGTCCCCATCAGGCTGTCAGCAGATTTCTCAAAAGAGACCTTACAGGCAAGAAGGGGCTGGAAAGAAATATTCCAAGTCATGAAATCTAAAGACCTACAACCAAGATTGCTCTATCCAGCAAAACTTTCATTTAGAATGGAAGGACAGATAAGGTGCTTCTCAGATAAGACCAAATTCAAGGAGTTCATCATCACCAAGCCCTTATTATATGAAATGTTAAAGGGACTTATCTAAGAAAAAGAAGTTAAAGAAACATGAACAGTGAAAGGACAACAAACTCACAGTTATTAACAACCACACCTAAAACAAAAGCAAACTAAAAGGACAGCTAGATCAGGAGTGGAAACATAGAAATGAAGATCTCAAGGAGGGTTAGCAACAGGGGAGTGGGAGGAGGAGACGGGGGGAGAAGGTACAGAAAACAAGTAGCATAGACAGTAGATAGAAAATAGATGGGGGGGCAAGAATAGTATGGGAAATATAGAACCTAAAGGACTTGAGACACATGGACATAAACTAAAGGGGGGTAATGGTGGGGTTGGGGGGGCAGGGTGGAGGGGAATGAAGGGGGGAATAGAACAACTGTAACAGCATAATTAATTCAAAAATAAATAAATAAATTTAAATATTAAAAAAAAAAAAAAAGGGTTGCCAGTTCGATTGTCACTCAGGGCACATGCCTGGGTTGAGGGCCAGGTCCCCTGTTTGGGGCGTGTAAGAGGCAACCACATATTGATGTTTTTCTCCCTTTCTTCTTTCTGCCCTTCCCCTTGCTCTAGATATAAATAAATATTTTAAAAATAAATATAAAAATATGAATTAAAAAATTATGAATAAAAAAGGAGTATACACACCCTGGATTATTTACAATAGTCCAGATATTAAAGTAACCTAAGTGCCAATCAACAAATGAGTAAAAAAAAAGCTGTGGTATGTTTACACAATAGAATAATACTCAACCACAAAAAAGAATGAAATGTTACCATTTGTCATAGCATGGATGAAACTACAGGGCATTATGCTAAGTGAAATAAGTCAGCTGGAGAAAGACAAATACCATATTATTTCACTAATATGTAGAACCTAAGGTAAAAAATAAGCAAAATTGATACAGATTCAGACACAGGTTGCCAGAGGACAGGGGGTTGGACCACTGGGTGAAAATCTTGAAGGGATTAAGAAGGACAAATTAGTAGTTACAGAATAATCATGAAGAGGGTGGAAATGGGAGGAAGGTGGGGAGCGCTAGGGGGGTGGGCTGATTGGGAGTAAAAGACGGAAAACTGTACCTGAACAACAATTAAATAAAAATTTTTAAAAAGACTAATCATGGAGATATAAAGTACAGCATACAGGCCTGACTGATATGGCTCAGTGATTGAATGCCAGCCTGCGAATCAAAGGGTCACTGGTTCAATTCCCAGTCAGGGTACATGCCTGGGTTAGGGGCTAGGTCCCCAATAGGGGGCATGTGAGAGGCAACCACACACTGATGCTTCTCTCCCTTTTCCACCTTCCCCTCTCTAGAAATAAATAAATAAACTCTTAAAAAAAATAAAGTACAGCATTGGGAATATACTCAATAATATTATAAGAAGTATATATGGTACCAGGCAGTATAGGAACAATATTGGAGCAAACACTGTATAGAGTATATGATTGTCTAACTACTATTGTGTACACTTGATATTAATATGAAGTTAAGAAAGAGGCACAGGTAGATACACTTTGCCTCCTCGCACAACCAAAAAAAGACAACAAATCTAAAAACAAAACATAACCAGAGCTGTCAGAAAATGAAACTGTATGGAAGTCCAAAAACTAAGGAGTTAAAAAAGAAACATTCACCCAGACTGGTAGGAGGTGCAGAGATGGGCAGCCAGGACAGAGAGGAGTTGCAGCAAGGCAGCATCTAGAGGACCAGGTAGTCCCACATTTGCAGACAGATAAACCGGGAGAAAAAACTGGGGAGGGAGACAGACTTCACAACCCACGGTTCCAGAGCAGCAAAAAACAAGCCTCACAACCCCTGACTGAAAATAACCTGTGGGGGTTGTCGTGATGGGAGAAACTCCCAGCCTCACAGGAGAGTTCACTGGAGAGACCCACAGGGTCCTAGAACATAAACAAACCCACCCACCCAGGAATCAGCACCAGAAGGGCCCAATCTGTTTGTGGGTAGTGGGGAAAGTGACTGAAGGTGGGACGAGAGCCGAGCAAGTGGCTTTGTCCCCTCTCAGACCTCTCTTGCACCTACAGAGCCACAACGCAGCAACCTGGGTTGCCCCGCCCAGGCCAATTCCTAAGGCTCTGCCCCTTACTACGTAACAGCTGTGCCAAGACAAAAACATATGACCGAATGAAAGAACAGATCAAAGCTCCAAAAACAGAACTAAGTGATGAAGAGGTAGCCAGCCTATCAGATGCACACTTCAAAACACTGGTAATGAGGATGCTCACAGAAATGGTTGAGTATGGTCGCAGAACAGAGGAAGAAGTGAAGGCTATACAAAGTGAAATAAGGGAACAGGGAACCATCAGTGACAGGAAGGAAACCAGGACTCAAATGATTTGGAGAAGGAAGAAATAAACATTCAACCAGAACAGAATGAAGAAACAAGAATTCAAAAAATATGAGGAGAGCCTTAGGAACCTCTGGGACAACTTTAAACATTCCAACATCCAAATCATAGGGATACCAGAAGAAGAAGAGGAAGAGCAAGAAATGGAAAACTTATTTGAAAACATAATGAATGAGAACTTCCTCAATCTGGCAAAGGAAAGAAGACTTCCAGGAAGTCCAGGAAGCTCAGAGAGTCCCCAAAAAGTTGGACCCAAGGAAGCACACACCAAGACACGTCATAATTACATTACCCAAGATCAAAGTGAAGGAGAGAATCCTAAAAGCAGCAAGAGAAAAGGAGACAGTTGCCTACAAAGGAGTTCCCATAAGGCTATCAGCTGACTTCTCAAAAGAAACCTTGCAGGCAAGGACCTACATCCAAGATGACTCTACCCAGCAAAGCTATTGTTTAGAATGGAGAGGTTGATAAAGTGCTTCCCAGATAAGGTCAAGTTAAAGGAGTTCATCATCACCAAGCCCTTATTACATGAAATGTTAAAGGGACTTATCTAGGAAAAAGAAGTTGATCAAAAATATGAACAGTAAAATGACAACAAACTCACAACTATCAACAACTGAACCTAAAAAACAAAAATGAACTAAGCATACAACTAGAACAGGAACAGAATCACAGAAATAGAAATCACATGGAGGGTTATCAGTGGAGAGGGGGAGTGGGAAAATGGAGGAAAAGATACAGGGAACAAGGAGCATAAATGGTAGGTACAAAATAGACAGCAGGAGGTTAAGAACAGTATGGGAAATGGAGAAGCCAAAGAACTTAAATGTACAACCTGTGACATGACCTAAGGGAGGAATGCTAGTGGGAAGGTGGGGTGCAGAGTGGAGGGGAATAAAGGGGAGGAAAAATAGGATAACTGTGATAGCATAATCAATAAAATATATTTAAAAATAAACTAATACAAAATTATGTTGAATAAAAAATTAAAAAGAATATGCAAAAAATTAAGTTAGTCTTGGATGGGCATAATTAAAAAAAGAAAGAAAGAAGTGTTGGTTACAATGTGGAGAAACTGGAACTCTTGTGCATTGCTGGTAGGAATATAAACGGTACAGCTGCTGTGAATAACACTGTGGCAATTCCTGAAATGATTCAACATAAGACTACCAGTTGACCAAGAATTTCCACTCCTTGGTATATATCCAAAAAAAATTCAAAGCAGGGACTTAACTGATACACATACACCAATGTTCACTGTAGCATTTACAATAGCCAAAAGGTGGAGACAACTATAGTGGCCAGGAACAAATAAATGGATAAACAAAATATGGTACGTACATACAATGGAATATTTTTCTGCCAGTAAAAAGGAATGAAATTCTGATGCACGCTACAATATGGATGAACATTGAAGACATTATGCTTAGTGAAGCAGCCAGACATAAAAGGACAAATATTATATTTTTCTACTAGTATGAGGCATATAGAATAGGCAGATTCATAGAGACAGAGAGTAGATGTTTCCAGGGGCTGGGAGACAGGGATAAGACCCAAGAGGACAAATATTGTACTTTTCCTGTTCAAGTTGTTTGCTTAGTTTGTATTTGTTTTTTGTTTTTGGTTAAGGAGTACAAATTTTTGTTGGGGATGATGAAGAGATTTAGGGTATAGACAGTGGTGATAATTACATACAGTGTGAATGTAATTAATGTGACTGAGTTGTACACTTATAAATGCATAGAATGATAAACATCTGTCATGTCTATTTTTCCACAATTAAAATTTTGAAGTCATCACTAATCTGCCGTTTCCCCCGCCCCAATAACAGAAAAAGGGATGAGTGGGTATTAGCCAGATAAGAGGGGGAGAGGAGCAGTGCTAGTTAAGTAGTAGGGTTGTAATTTAAACTATATGACAGTTCTTCCCCAGGCTGTGGAGCCCAATTTGTTGTGGAGACCTGCTACCTTGCCAGTCAAGTGTGACCACGTGGATGCTCTGTATGTCCAGTAGCCCAGAAGTAGGCTACTCTCTCAGCAGATGAACTGCACCCCTCCCCACAGAAAACACACCCCGGGGCTCACCTTGGTGGCCTGAGAAGCAGCAAGTTCTTTGGTGAGCTCTTCTAGGGCCTCCCTGTTCCGGCCACAGAGCACCAGCTTAGCACCTGCAGCATAGAAGACTTTGGCACATTCTAAACGTAGAAAAGAAAACATTGATGGCATAGGAAAATCAATGCCCTTCTTCCCCAGTATAGTTCAAACTTGTCCAATATTTCAGAACATGTATTGTTTTTCCATGCACTGAACACATATATAATCAGCCCTAGTTCCAGCCCATGAATGAATGCAGGAATCGGGTCCAGAGCTTGATGAGCTCTGTCGTTGCCTTAGAGAGCTCGTGTTCAGTGATGTGACAGACATCCACAGGACAAGGAAAAGACAGGGACTGGTTGACAGATTTGTTAGGTATTATGTCCAGAACATTCCATAATCAGCTTTAGCTCTGAACCCTCAGTGAACATTATCCCCATTTTCACAGCTGAAAAAGCTCAGCAAGATTGAGCAATATGCCTGTGACAGGCAGCAAGAGCTGCGCACAGCATGTCTGCCGAGGCTTATATTCCAGCACAGCCCAGCTGTTTCCCAAGTCACTTGAATACAACAGGTACTGATCTCCCAGGGCTGCTTACGAGGTTCTAGAGAAACACAGGGAACACAGGACTCTGTTAAGAAGGGCTGGGGAGGCCTGAGGGGCTGTTCCCCAGATAGTGCAAGAGGCAGAGGGAGCAAAGTCTGCAAAGTGCCTGAGGGAGCATAGACAGGGCAGCTGGGAAAGTTCATCAGCCTTGCTCGGCTGTGAAATAATACAACTGCCAAGTAAAGAGCTGAAACCTGCTGAGTGCCTACAACAGCTTAAGATTCTAAAGGGGGCTGCATTTAAAAAGGTACCCTCCTGTGGGGTAGGAAGACAGGAGACTGAAAAAGACCAGGCTCTACTGTGCCCACTTATTACATTCCAGGTGACGATGAGGACATAACTAAGACTATGGGCAAGGAGGAGTCCAGAACTATCTGGGCACCTTTGTTAGTCAACATTCTTTTTGTGGTAAGAAAGAGACTCAACTCACACTGCAGCAAAACCAAAAAAAGATTTATCAGGAGGATTCTAGGACAGCTCAAGAATTAAGAAAAAAGTCCTGGCTTGTATAGCTCAGTGGATTGAGCATGGGCCTGTGAAGTAAAGGGTCGCTGGTTTGATTCCCAGTCAGGGTACATGCCTGGGTTGCAGGCCAGGTCCCCAGTAGGGGACACATGAGAGGCAACCACAGATTGATGTTTCTCTCCCATTCTTTCTCCTTCCCTTCCCCTCTCTGTAAAAATAAATAAATAAATAAATAATTTTTAAAAGAATTAAGGAAAAAAAGGCTGAATGGCCAAGATGTGGAAGGACAGGCATGGGGGCTTCCCAGGGTCTCTGGTAGCAGGACCCGGCTCTCTCAATGCCAGCATGAGCATTCTTCACCTCCCCAGCCCGGCTTCCCCACAACACGGAGCAGGCTCTGTGCTCACATCGACACAGCTCCCCTGCCAGACAGGAAGGACTTGTCTCCTCCAAATTCTTGCACCGAAATCTCAGTAAGGGACTGTGCTCACTGTGGTGGAGCAGCTTCAGCAGGACTAGCCTAGGAAGGGTCCCACTTAATCCCCCTGAGGTCCAAGGGAAGGGGCAGGGAGGGAGGCCACCAGGATGCCGTGCTAACCTAGGCAGAGGGGACAGGAGCAGAGGTTGAGGTCCTTTTGTTTCTCGCTTGCCCTGCCCCCATACATGTCCTGACTAAATGTTCTGAAAACTGACAGCTTATAAAAACCAGTACAGCCCAGTGGTCCAGAGAACAGACTAGACTTCCTATGTGCAACTCTTGGCTTCCCACACTTCCTGGTTCTGTGATCCTGGGTTAATTTATGACCTCCATTTTTCACTTTCCTCTTATGTTAAAATGAAAGATGAAAGCAGCGCTGGAAAGGAATGAATTAAAGTAGATTCAACGACCATTTTAAAAAGTACTATAGAAGTGTTGTTTTTGTATTTCTAATCTGCCTTTTAAAAAAGCTCTAAAAAATGACCGTTGGTAAAAATTGAAATGCGAGGGTTTCAAGAAGCACTGCCTATCCTCACCCAAGGTTTCATCTCCTCACAGGCCCCCCCGAGCAGGTCTGCACATGTTACAGGGTGCAGCCCAGAGAGGGGCCCCAAATAGGGATTTGGAACAGGGTCCAGAACTCAAGGTATCCAGGAAATATTAAAAAGATATATAGGATGTCCTCACTCCTTCACCCCACAGGTGTGAGTTAGGGGAAGGGACAAATGGAGCAGGGCCATTGAGAGCTGTTTTGTACAGCAACAGCTTTGCAGCTAACCTCTGGCATGGTCATTTAACGTATCTACAACCTTTAACTGGTTGCACAGATATGTTAAATAGCTGTGGTCATGCTTTGAGCCAGGGGATGGAAGTGACTTCCATTCAAGATGTAACTGGGGGGGGGGGGCAGGTCCCCCTGGTTACAGCACCTGTGTGACAGCTTGGACAGGACTGGCTCCACGACATGGGGGACAAACCTGCCCAGACTCACAATGGCAGCCCAGTAAACTTGGAATAATACAGGAATGCTGGCAGGTGTAACTGATTGTAGGAGTCAGAAATGGGGGTACAGAGGAAGACTGGCATAGGGATTTAAACCCAGACACGGCAGCTATTAAGAGAACTACGCAGCTTTGCCAGAGTGGGGACCCCTGCAGCTTTGGTAGAAGAGGACCACATGGCTTTGGGATGCTCCCTTTGGCCACATGGCCTAGGAAGCAGGAGAGACTTTGCCTGGAAGAAAGGTGAAAGAACTCTTGCCAGTAGGCCATGAGAAGGTGCCACATGGCTTTGGATTAGCTGGAGATCCTGAACAGTGACACAGCTGATGGTGATGGCAGCCTGAATCATAAATGTCTACTTCTCTTCCTGAGAAACGGTACCCCAGTTTAGGGCAGAGGGAGAAGGAGGCACTGTGTGTGTGTGTGTGTGTGTGTGTGTGTGTGTGTGTGTGTGTGTATCCTAAAGGACTTTGATATTTTAATGAAGACATTAGGTCACTGCTTTAAGTCTATACAGCTTTAAATAAACATTTTCTTTCCTTTTCACAAATCTCTGGCATTGAAAGACATCTTTCCTCTGGTGGCAGACAAGCGAACCTAGTGAGGGGTCCTTTTGGTAATAGTATATCATACCCCCTTGGCCCTGTTCTGTAACACACAGACTCCTCAGCCCGGATCCAACCAGTGTCCCAGACTGAGTCTGACAAGCCGAGGTGGTCAGGGGTGGCTCAGTACCCCCTTGGCTCACAGAAGGGACAGGGCTGACCTGGAGCTGCTGACAGGGGTGAGAGATCAAGGTTATAACTTCCTCTCTATGAGGCAGGAAGGTGGGAGGGTCTGGGCAGAGTGTACTTCCTCCACAAAAGTGTCAAAATTCCTTAAAGTTAAAAAGCTTCCAAACCTTTATTCTGAGAGAAGAAATTCTAGGATCCTCCAGGAAAAGAGGAACTTTTGACCTCTGGAAGGTTAACTTAGGGTGCAAAGCCCTTTCATTGCACTCTGCTGTGCCTTTCGCTTCTCCTATAGCTTCTACTTTGCCATACCCAGCCGTGCACCTCCCTGAATATCCCCAGGTAGAGCTTTCTGGAAGGAGGTGCTAAGTGTACTAAATCAATACATTTTCATTTGCGCTGTCTCATCGTCTTTGAAGATCTGGTTCGTCTGTTCATGACTCAGCCCGACAAAGGGCACAAGTCCAGAGAGAGCTGCAGCCCCCTTTCTCTCTGCCTGTCCCTGGGTGGTTTGGTCAGGGTCACAGACACTGTTCTGCCTACCCTGTTGTTCTTCTCAACAAGGCAGCGAAGGCTTCAGGGGCCGGAGTGGGTGGGGGGTGGAGATGGGCTGCATTCAAAGCCAGATTCCAGCATTCCTGAGACCAGAACTGCTCATTTGGTTTGTTAAATAACTCCCAAAGATTAGGAATTCCTAGTTCTGTTGGCTTCCTTGCCCCATTCTGTCCTGTCCTGACCAACACAATGGGCATTTTGGGAGGTGCCACTAAGGGTGCAGACACACAGAACCACAGGTCCGGGGAGGCATGCTGGTGTATAAAGTTTCTGGAAAATGGTCACCTACATTCTGCTTAAGCTTTGCTTCCGAGCAGAGCCAAAAAGGGAAGATATTAGTTTGTGTAGGGAGTGACAGAAATGAAAATAACAGATTGGAAGGATTCCACTTTCATTTTTGAAAAAGCTGATACAAGGAGGCAGAGAGTCAAGGGAAAAGAAAAAAAGTCTCAGGTACTATCTTCCCTGCCTTCCCTGCACTGTTGGCTTTTGTCATTCAAGACAACTGCTCACAGCTTCAGGGCTTAGGCTGGCAGAAGTGGGCTTCCAGAGCCTCTGTCCCTTTACAAGGACAAGTGTGTGTAACATAAATATACAAAACAGAACTGTAGGAAGCTGTCACAGGTCCATCACATGACTTGAACCTCCTGAACCCTAACACTGGGCAGAACCACCCAGGGCAATGCTGGGTCTTACTCCTCACAGCAGCGTGCCCGGACCATTGGCGGCAGGAATGTCTGTCTGCACCTGAAATGGCTGCTTGTCAGTTTGGCCCTATTTTATCTGGCTGGAGGGGAAAGAGATATATGGAATCCTGTCCCTAAGATGTTGAATAGGGCCAAGTATAAGTGGAGTGATTTGCAATTCAGGAAATGGCTGACTTTCTATCTATCTATCTAAATACATAAAGGGTTTTTCCCAATTACATTTGCTACTCCCTTTACAGTCTTGGTGTCTGGAAGAGGAAATGTGGAACAATGAAGAGAATGATGCCTGTCTCAAATGTCCTTCTCAAACATCCACATATTAGAGCACCTGCAATCCCATACCTTTCCATTCTAGCCAACTCTGAAATACTCCTCAAGGACTCAAAAACAAAAACAAAAAATGCTTCTCTCCAAGATTAAGAGAAGTATCTGGTGACAGTCCTATATATAGTATCTAAGTAAGGTCAGAGGACCAACTGTGGTAAAGGGCTTGGAGGCAGCTGTCCCTATGCACATCCGGGTATCTAATGACAGACCCAGGGGTCACCCCCGGAGACCTCACATAAACATCAGCATGGCATACAAAGAGGTCCATACCAGCTAAAGCCTTCCCAGTCCCTCCTGCATGACTGCAGCACAAGCCCCATCTGCTCCTTCGTGCTCCTGCAACACCCCAAGTGCTTATCAGCCCCTGCACAACCATGCTGTTCCTAGCCTTAGGCTGGCTCTGCAATGCCCTCCCTACTGGCTCACCCTTCCTCTTCCTTGCCTTCACCCTTCCCCTCTCCCCGTCAAGGGAGACAAAAATGAGTTCTGGAGTTGATGTGGGTTTAAATCTCGGCTTCACCCTTTCTGGCTAGTCATACCACCTTCTCCGAGTCTCATCTGCAAGGATTCAGTGATACAAGCACAAGTTCCACATACAGAGCACCCATTACTGAAATGGCAGTGTGCTGAGATAGGTACCTGCCTCTTTCAGTCAGATCACAGGCTCCCCAAGGGACACAGCCCTGTCTGTCATCTGTTTGTCCCACGTGGCCCAGAGCCTTGCACATGGGAAGCGCTCCATCAATGCTAACTGTACTATCACCAACCAAAAGGTGCAGCAATGGGGGGTTTACCATAGTTTGGGGGTGTTTCTCTGCCTCCCATGGAACTGGGCTCCAGTGTGGATGGTGCTGCAGGGATATGATGTGTGTGTGCATATGTGACAAAGGGCAGGGGGTTCCACGCCAAATACCTGAGTTTGCCCTCTGTACGCTCTGCTGTAGAAGAGGAAAACTTCCTTTTTCTTCCCTTCTAAGTGCTATGGCAGGTCTAATAATTAAATTGGTGTAACAGATCAACAGGAGGAAAAAATTATAATTTTGTATGTACAGGATTCCCCCCCCAAATATGAGGCTATAAGAAGTGAGCAAAGCAGGTAGTTTTAGTACCTTTTAGGTAAAAACAAACAAATAAATTAGTGAAAACTGACAAGACAAGGGGTTTGAGCTTTGGGCAGTAAATTAGCAATGATTTAACAAGGTTTGTTTATACAGCCCTCTTGGCCTTGAATTTACCATCTCTCATGATAAAGATGCCTTCTACTTTCTGGTACAGAAAGGGCACCTTTTATTTTTAAGGATTCATTTTTTTAATTTTATAGAGAGAGGAGAAGGGAGGGAAAAAGAGAGAGAGAGAAACATCAATGTGTGGTTGCCACTCACACTCCCCTTACTGAGGATCTGGCCCTCAACCCAGGTGTGTGCCCTGACTGGGTATCAAACCTGGTCAACCCTTTGGTTCGCAGGCTGTTTCAGACTGCTCTGCCTGGTTTCAGGAATTGTAACTCTACCCCCTGTGGCTAAGGATGAGTCAGTGACCTTTGGAATGTGAGCTGCAAGAGACAAAGCTTGTCTCTGGGGGTGCAACTCCTTGCCTTGCTAGAGCTTGTCCTGGGGAAAAAATCTGGCATCACAAAGACTTCCCGATAAACCTGTGAAATCTGCTCTTCTAAGAGTGCTTTCATTCATACCTTAAGGGTTCAAGCTGGAAACCCTAAAACTCTCTTCCTGACAGACTCTGACTCAGACTAAGCCCTCAGATTTCTTTGAAATGTTATCTACTGTTTAATCCTTGCTGCCCTGTATTCCTGTGTATTACAACCCAATAAAAGCCTTTGGAGGAAGGGGCTCAATGCCTTTTTTCCCTGAGAAACTAGCCACTGCTCAAGGCCTTTTTCCTCTGGGAAACTGGTCACCTGTCCTCCCCAAGCAGATCATGTCTCAGTCATGTTTACTGTCATCCTTGGCACCTGGGGGGACTTTCAAGGAAAGTCACCTCCACAGCAGGCCACCACTCAATCCACTGAGCCACACCAGTGAGGGTATTTTGAAAAATATTTTTCAATCACAGTCTACATTCATTATTTTGTATTAGTTTCATGTGTGCAGCATAGTGGCCAGATAATCACATGCTCCACCAGTGTCTCCCTGCTCCCTGATGTTTCCAGTACCCACCTGGCACCCCTGACTACATCAGGGAGGGCACTTTCACTGGGGAGATGCATTCTGCTTCCAAGGGAACAGAGGAGGCTCAGAGTCCTGTCCTTTTTACACCAGCTGTTTCTTAAATACCTTTAATTCAAAATAAGCAATATGCCAACATGGCATATTGTGGGATGACATATATTTCTCCCCTTCACTGCTAAAGTCAATATACATGTTTGGAAGGGAAATGACGACAGCTCTACAGAGTCATTTGTATTGAGAGGAGGGGCAGCAACAGGCTCCGGACCTGTGTCCAGAGCACAATTCTTAGAATCTAGCAGCTCAGTGTGCTCTCCAAACTGGAACAGGACTAAGCTGGGGAACCCAATGAGCTAAGGCCTCAATCATCCTGTTTCCGGCCCTTCCAAGGTTGTGACCAGGGTACAGCTCAAGGCTCAGCTAGTCAACAAAAGGCCATAAACCAGGCACGCTGGCTGAATCCAGGAAAAGGCACGCTTTGTTTGACCCTCAAGGAAGTAATTAGCTGTCAACATTTAAAAATCGGGAGCCTTCATGTAAAAGCCCGATTTCAACAACCAGCTGCAGCTGAGCAAGGCTGCCCCCTTAGGTGAGACGTGCAGGCTCCAGTTTACCATGGCCTTCCTCATTAACCTTTGCCACCTGCACAATGCTGAAAGTCTCATTGTCCTCAAGCTCTTGCTTTTACCAACTAGACAGAGAATGGCAACATATACTCTTGTTCCCAACTCACCAACCCACTTCACTTAGTTGCATCTGTGTTGTGGTCCCTGAGTAGCTGAGCTGCTCCCCAAGCCCAGGCTGGCCTTCCTTCCCCTGCAAGCACTGCCTCCAGGACCCACCTCGCCCCAGTCCTGAGGTGGCACCTGTTACGACCACCACAGCATCCTGGAGCCTAGCCTTCGTCCACATGCACTGCAGCAGCTTGAAGAGGCTGAAGATGCCCACACAGCCAAACAGCAGGGGCAGGATGGCCATGGAAGTCATGACCCTCACTGTCAGCAGACGCTTCCTGGAAGAACCAAAACCAAATAAATTAATGACAAAATGGGAGAATTCAAGATGACTGCCAACCCTCTTCCTGTTAGTGTGACACAGAGCCCAGACATTTCTTGTGAGGACCTCAGCTCTGAGTTCGGGGCGCGACACTCTCACTCTGCATGGACATGAGCAGATCGCTTGCCGCAGACCTGAGGTTACCTCTCAGAGGTGCGCAGTGGCCAGGACGAGCATGTCAGTACTCACCTGATTCTCCTTCAGAAACCTGTTTTGGGAAACTCAAGTAATACCTATTCTCATTTTAAATTTCTGGGTATTTGTGAAACTAGATTTTTTTTCAAGGACAAAGAAAACTATACCAACCTTTCTACCCCTCCCTGAGCAGATGGATGGTATCTGGGATGGTCCACAAGTGTGCTCTCAGCCACAGGCCTTACGGACACCCAGAGGGAGTCCAGCTCACTGGATTTCCCTTGGCCAGGCACAGGCACTGACTCAGGATGCTGAGCAGGCCATCCTATAATGCCCTGGGCACGTTCTCACTTAGCTGTCACTGGTGACCCACAGGCAGCCAGAGGAAACCAGGAGCCCCAGGTATTTACACAACAGTGCGGGGTCAATTCTTAAGAAACATATCCGTGTCTCCCACAACTGCCCCTAATTTCCTTATTCCTCCAAGCTTTTGCTATTACTCACCCATGTCCCTAGCCCAAAGCAACAACAGCTAAGAGGGGACAACGTGAAGTTAAATAAAGGTCAAAGGTGAGTTAGTGAGGAGCAACACCATGTTGGTCACTTTGGAAGAAAAGCCCTGTGAAGCCACTGAGCAGGTGGGCCAGAGTCCATTACTCAAAGGTCCACCCACAGTCCACCTCCAGGGCTGTGATGTTGTGAGCACAGGATTCTCTTCAGGAAGGAAAAGGATGGGAACCAAGGGAAGGGTTCCTGTGAAACGGCCTGAAGCATCCAATTATTCATCAAACTGGAAGTAACTATGTAAAACTCTCACCCACCTACTAAATGTCCCATCTCTTCAACTCCTCATTTTTTAAAAAATATTTCTGCTTCCTGCCCCAAGGCAACATCAGCTATGTGAATGTCATGAAGCCAGAGCCCACTCAAGACCAGCAGGGACCCCCTACCTCCCTAGTTACTTTGATCTTAAAATTTAGGTTCAGGATGAGCTGTTCTGAACAAATCTAACCTGTTCCAAGGCAAAAGGGTTCCACTCCAATTTGAACAACTCAGACAGTTAGTATTTAGTTCGATTTTTCACCTGCCTTTCCAAATATACCTAAATTCTCATTCACCATAAAAAAAGTTAACACTCATCCTGGCCAGGCGGTTCAGTTGGTTGGAGTATTATCCTGTACACCAAAAGGTGGCAGGTTTGATTTCTGGTCAGGGCACATGCCTGGGTTGCAGGTTTGATCCCTGGTTGGGGCACGTACAGGAGGCAACCAATCAATGTTTCTCTTTCACATCAATGTGTGTGTGTGTCTCTCTCTCCCTCTCTCCCGAGCTCTCTCAAATCAATAAACATACCCTTGAGCGAGGATTTTAAAAATTAACATTCTTGGAAAAACAGCTGTAAAAATACTGTTTTCCATCGACCTCCACTTAATTTGCTTTTGAAAGCCCCCATCCACTGTGTGCTAAGTGAATGCATTTCATTTTCACCCTACATTGTGCCAACCCTACAGTTAGATGAACAGGTAATTAAAATGGATTTTGAAGTGTCAGACTCTAGCTGGGTACTAATGGCATCACCCCTGTCCCCAGCAGGAAGCTCAGGCCAGGGGTCTTGGCCCATCATAACTCAAGCTGAATCCCAGGGTAGATGCTAGGATCTGAGGACTCTTTATCTGGCACCTGGGAAGTACTCAAAAATTTGGCTGACACCAAGCACCAGCACCTCTATCACTCTTCCAGTCTGCAGGTGCTGCTGGGAGCCTTCCCAGGGCTAGGTGATGGCAGTGTAGGGGTCACAAGGATGAACCCACCCTGTCTGGGTTCACATCCCAGTTCAGCTACTTTCCAGCCTGGTAAGGGTCCTCAGGGCTTTGAGCAGCAGTACCCTCATCTGTAAAAGGAAGGCAAGCGCATACCTGCCTTGCAGGTTTGTTACAAAGTCAGATGAATCAGGATTGGAAATAATGTGCAGGGTCTCTGGTGCAAGGTAAGCACTCAGCAAACTTGGCTGTGATCAGCACCCTTACAGCCCAACTAGCTGCTGGCTTCTGGCCCAGGAGTCAGTTCCTCAGCTATTGGGCTTCCAAGGTTGTCTGAAAGAATCCCTAGTTTATGAGAACTGGTTTCTTCCAAAGAAAGGAAACTCATTGAACATACACTTCTCCATAGTTTTAAACTTTTATTCCTTCACATCTTTAATTTAATTAAATTAACAAACAGGAAAAAAAGTGTTCTATCAAAAGCCAGTATTCCATATCCCATGGTTGTCAGACACTGTGGCTACCCTAACAGCCATGAGGCCAACACAGACAGGAAAGACTGGACAAGCTTTCAAAGTGCCCCCCTCCATGGTTTCCCCACACCCAGGAAGGGCGGGATACAAATAAACTGCCCTCCACAAGGCCCCCCACTAGAAAACAAGTCCAGGTTCTAACAATGCACTTGCACACACCTAGTTAAAGCCTGAGCCAATAATCTATGACATGAAGGAGGAGAGAAAATCTTGCACACTTCTGGGATGTCTTGAGCACCTGACATAACACTGCACGCTGGCCATGATTTCCTAGCCCTGGGGACCACTTTGCACAAGGCAAATATGGAACCAGGTGAAGGAATCCTTCCCTGAGCCCTGGGCCAGCTTTCTGTGGGCGTAGCACACACCTGTGTGCAGTCTGACGAGCTTTTAAGGAATCAGAATGCAAAGTAAATGAGAAATCAGCACTGACTCTCCTCAGCTAACACAGGATGGTGATGGCGGGAAAAGATACCCCAGAGCAGGCCATTTATTTCAGAGAATCGGGTTCAATTTCAGGGTAACTTCCCTGACCAGGTTAAGATGGTCACATAAGCAATGTCAACTCTTCCTGGGAGTTTTTCAAATTCTTAAAGTCTTCCCAACTTTTATTCTACTCTGCAGTGCATGTGGTCGCACCACTGTGCCCCAGGGCCACAGGGCTTCCCAGGCTCTATCTAGAGTCAGTGGGGTCAGCTCCACCCTGTCTCACCCTTGGCAGTCAAGATGTCCAAGAGAGCCAGGACCAGATATAACTCAGCACCTGGGGGCCTTCTCCAAGTAAAAGTGACAGCTCCAAAGTGGAAGAAAGCAATTGTGTCCTTGGCTGGCCACAATCCCAAGTTAGGAAATAAGTTTCCTATGTAAAGCAAGTTCAAAGGAAGCCTTTTTCCCTATGAAAATGGCATATAAGAAGAAGTTAAATATGTTTATAAATTTTGCATTTTATTTTATTTTTTTTCAAATAGAGGAATTCAGGTTTTATTTTTTATTTTTTAAATGCTTCTCTTTTTTTTTTTTTAAAGATTTTATTTATTTATCTCTAGAGAGGAAGGGAAGGAGAGAAGGAGAAAAATATCAATGTATGGTTGCCTCTCATGGGTCCCCTGCTGGGAACTGACCTGCAACCCAGGCATGTGCCCTGACGGGGAATTGAACCTCGATCCTTTGGTTCGCAGGCCCACACTCAATCCACTGAGCTACACCAGCCAGGGCTAAATTTTGCATTTTATATCAAAGGCCTTTTAACTACTAGTTTCAGATATAACTAGGAAGGTGAGCTGGATGGTAGTAAAAGGAGCTGGGAAAAAATCTTATTCATGATTTCCAGCATTTTGAGATCAGCCTATAGAAAGAAGGGACGACTACGAGCCACATGGGAAAGCAGGACAGACCTAGAGAGACAAGAGGGTGGGGGGGGGTCAATAAAAAAAGGTGAGCTAGCCCCACTTTGAACAGAATCTGTAGGTCACAGGTAGTCTAGACTCACGAAGGGCACTGTCTGTAAGGTCAGGCGGCACTTGCAGTCACAACCACCTTTAACTGGCAGGAAAGTAACTTGTGGCATAACCTCTCATCATGAACTGTACCAACTGGCATAAGGAAGTTAGAGTTCAGGTATTCACACACTAAGCCCATCTGTTGGGTTTTTACATACCAAGACTATACAGAGTCAAAAGAGTTTAAAGATAGAAAGTTCCTTCTCAGGCGAGTGTTACTTGGGCCTGGGCAGCCAGAAAGTCTATGGCTTCTCACTGTGATTCGCAATTCAGCTGCTCTTTTATTTTCCACTGAGTTCTTTAAAAGGGCTTTCAGAACCTCAAACTAGAAACAAGAAATCAGCTGAGCAGAAATGTCCCCTCTTATGCCATTTGTCCCCTCCTCATACTTCACTCAAAATTCTACACTACATTTCACAGATGAAATATGTTCCTAATATTCCTTCTTCTCTCAGCTGGTCATAAAAAATTAAGAAACTGAATTATTAATGTAAAACAGATTGTTGGCATCTACCTAGAAACCACAGAAATCAAATCACTGACAAACATATCTGAAAACTGAAAGAGGGAATCTGAAAACCTTTCAAGGTTAAAAACTAATAATGATTTTAGGTCTGCAAGGCTTAGTCATGAATTTGCCATGTTATACACAAGAAAATCAGGCTAAAGGGCAGACAGAGTGTCCACCTGGAAGACAGGGTGTTGCAATCATGCAGCAGGAATGGTTCAGTGTCACCAAGAGCGGTTCAGATCTCTCATTCCCACACACCTCTCCCCATTCTTATATGTCATAATTGATGATTAGCTTGGAACAGCTGACTATAAAAGGTGACATAAGCTATGGGCCATGCTTATGACCCATATCTGAAAATAGGTAACTATTTTCACAAAGTAAAGCAGCGTAAAGCTGCTCTGTTTTGGTATGCAGCAAATAAGAAGCAGCTGCTAAGGCTGTCTTCAACTAGAAAAAAAGAAAACGGTCCCACCTCAGATGGTGGCTGCTGTGACAGTGGTTGAGTCCCAGCACCA